CCAATTGTATCCCTATACAACTTTCTTAAATAGCTCTATGTCAAATAGTCCCCTGGTAGTCAGATCGATCCTATTGGCATAATTGAGTTCAACCATCACGATAGCAAATAACTTATTAAATTTTATACTCCCCCGGGTAGTCCAGGTGTCTAGTGTAAAATTGAATAATTCTTTCAATCCATACATCTAATGCAAATAAATAATTTTAATATATTCTCGAACTATAAGTCTCCTGGTAGTCAGGCCGCTCCTTATAAACAAGAAATAAGTAAAATTATTTACCTTGATGGATAGTTCTTATAATAAAATATCTTATATTTTATTATTTAAGAACTCAAATTTTAGGAAGAGGGAATTGTTACTAAAATAATTTTTAATAACATGAAGATCAAATCTTTTATAGCATGTGAATTTAGTTCAAGTTATCTACATGCTTAGTCCTAAATTGATTTACATCACATGTAATAAATAATTCAAATTATGTAATGAACAAGCACGTGACATAAAAATAAAATTCAACATTCTTCTAACATGTTTAATCTATATATCACATATATCACAAAAAAGTAATTCATGCCAGAATATCATTATTAATTAACATCTCATGAACTAATAACAATTAAAAATAACAATAGAATCATGTAACCGATTATAGATTCCCATTGTATCTAATACAAAATTTTAAATTCAAGTTATGAACTATCTCAATAGTTCAAACGAATTAACTATTGCACAAGACACATATATTATGGTTTGAACTCTTCAAATATAATATAAAAATATTTCGTAAATAAATTTTAGACACAATAAACCACTGCTCTGATACCACTGAAGGATTTCGTATAGGTGTCCGTAACATGCAGCGGAAGACAATAACAATCCTAGGCAGATCTTTTCGTGTTTAAAATTTATTTACATGTCAATAGATCGGATCTAAGACGTACCTGGTGTAGAGAGTCTCGTTTCAAAATTTCTTCGATAGTGCAAAGACTCTATGCGTATCCACACCGAGACTGATCCTTGCTATCAATTCTTTGATCAACGAAACCCGCGAACAAATTGAACGAAAAACTTGTGCTGAAATTTTTCTCAAAAATCTCAACTCAAATTAGAAGAACAAGAAACACTTTTTTTGTAACTATATTTTCTCTCTTGGCTTGTGTTGCACTCTCACTTTCACAAAGTGGGTTTTCTTCTCAATAATTAGTTTTTTTTCCATCACCCTTTATATAGCATCACCTAAAACCTTTTCCTATTGGTTGAGGTAATGATTTACTTAGGGTAAAAGTTTATTCCAAAAATAAACTTTGTAAACTTTTTTCCATAGAAGTTCGAATCTCATTCAAATAGGTTTATGACTGCCGAAGACTTGTTCACGTGATTATTCCAACTCAAAGTTGGAATCTGTTACTTGTAAAGCATAATTAATAAAAGATTAATCCCATTCCAAATGGGATGAAATTGACGACAAGTTCTTTTTGTGAACTTTACACGTGATTTAATCCAATTCCAAATTGGAATTACTAACAAGCCTTTTATTAATATTATATTTTATATAACATCTTTTATATAAAATAAGTGTTAATTATATATATCATTATATATATTTTAACCAAGAGATATAATTTAATTTTCTATTCCAAATAGAAAACTTCAACTTGTTCACAATATTAATTATATCTTCTGTGCTAGCAAAAAAATATA